TTAATATTTTTAATAATTTATCTGTATAAATTTTTTTATATCTTTATATTATTTTTTTATTTTTTTAATTTATATCTTAATGTAGTATCTATTATAATTAAAAAATTTAATATTAATATTTTGTTAATATGTTTTAGTTTTTTTTTGTGATAATTTTTTTGAATTTATAGTATAAATTAGTTTTTCAATTGTATTATTTGTTTTTTTTATTTTAATGTTTTTATAATATTATTATAATTTTTTGTTTTTAATTTTTTAATTTTATCATATATAAACAAAATTTGTTATGAAAATTGACCTTTTAATTATTTTTTTTAAAATTAGTCTTTTTGATTGATTCATCTTATACAAATTTTTAATCTAAAATTTGTGTTATTTTGAATTTATTTTTTAAAATTTATTTGTTCACATAATTTAATGTACCAAAACTCTTCAATTTTCATGGGTACCGTAACAACTCTCATTAATTTATCATCGTATTGACACCCTTAGCTTGGTATTGTTTTTGTCAAATTTTTCGATTGTAATTTATACATTTAAATTAAAAATTGAATTCTAATTTTTAGTTAAAAATTACAAGTGCTAAAATTTAAGCAATCCATAAAATAAAAAAGTGTTGATGTGACATGATGTGACACAAGGAGTTACTTATAAGCAACTCCCACTGAAAATTCTCTTAGCATTAATTGAGAGTTAATGGCTAAAGATGCATATAAATATAGATGTTTGTAATAACATTAACATAATTAATTAAATTAACATGAGTAAATACAAACTTTAATATCTATAGAAGAATTATACCTCTTATATCTAACACGCAAGTTGTATACTAGCATCATCAAGGTGCTTGTACATATATACTAAGACAAATACACCCCATGCATACATGTCACACATTTAGAGGTTCAAGAAGGCTACATTAGCACATGTGTCACTCTTGTCACCAAAGATGGTGGGACCCACCAAATGCATAAGAAAAACTCTTATCGCATATTTTAAATGTTTGTCCCGAATGCGTACCTCATACAAATTTTTGCAATCACCTTAAACGCGTGTATGCTCCTTGTGAAATCTTTGTGAGTGCCTGGTAAATGTACGTAAAATGACACAACCTCTAAACTTTTCTTGCTCCGTTCACAAAGGAAGATGACATGTTAAAAATAAATTTACCCTTATATTTTTATAATTTTAAAATTAAAAATATAAGTCAAAATATTTTAGACATTATACTCAATATTTAAAATCTTTTTTTCTTTCTCTCCAACCCCAATAATATTGGACAGAGATAAAATTAAATAAAATAATAAAAGTATATAAAAATTCGTTCCTGCCCCTCCTGTCCGATTATTCCATCCAAACACTATGTGCATGTGTCTGGGTTAAAGTTTGCTGACCTAAGTTTGAGTAGTTTTTCATTTTTGCAAATTGAGTTTGCAAAATAAACCTTGATCTTGTTTTTATGAAACCAAATTTCCAGTCAAAATATAAGTTTGCAAATATATTTCCGTAGGTATCTAAACATATAATAAAATTGAGTTTACTCTCCAAAAACTAAGCTTGGACTCTAAATGTAGCCTACGTTATATTACTTCATGTAACACACACTTTATAGTTTTTTTTATTTTGTTTTATTTTTTTTATTTATAAATTTTTAAATCATGAGAGACTTATTAAACAAGAAATAACAGTAACAAAATTTTATGTTTTTAATTTTTAATAAATTTTATTAAAAAATCTAAAAAATGCTTTTATCCTTTATTTTATTATTAAAATTTATTTTAATATTTTATTTTTAAAAAAATTATTTTAGTCCTTTAACATTCAATTTTAAGTTAATGTTATTCCTCTAAACTAATGATCATATTCAATTTTAGGACATAAATATTTAAAGCGTAAAATTTGATTGATTAAATTTATTAAATAAAAATTATAAAATTCAACTAGTGATGATATAAAAAAACATCATAATTATTGTGAAAATTTCACAAAAAGTGAGCATTGAAAAAAAATATAATATTAGATTCTACAATTTTTTAGTTGCATACAAAATTCAATTTTCATGTAATTTTTATAATGTTTATGAGTTTTTTTTAATATTAGTTAATTATATATTTTTTAATAAAATTTAATATATAAATTTTATGATTTGAATAAAATGAAAAAAAATCGTAAAAACTAAAATTAATATTAAAACAAATAACTAAAAATATATTTTATCTAATAAAAAGTTTGTATTTAAAATAATTTGAAAAAAAAAATGAAGGCTTTAGAAAGTCGTAAAAACTAAAAAAAAAAAAAGAGAGAGAGAAAAAAAAGTGAAGTAAAAGTAAAACTAAAATCACATCCTTGTAATAGTTGCATTCTGTTGCGTTGGTTTCCAATGATTGCAGAAACCCAAAGAACAATCGTTGATTCAATCACCACTCCGATGATTCCTCCGCGTCTCCGGCGTCGCTAGTCGCTGTAGCTCCGTCGCCTCTCTCCTTCGATTCAGCTTGTCGAAAATTCAAAAAACGACACATGGAACCTCCCACTCCCGGCGCCACTAGTGACGATAGGTTTTCGAATCCAAACGCAACCGCCACGACCTCAACCTCAACCTTCACTTTCAGCTCCCCTTCCGTTTCGGGCCTGTCCAGGCCCAGATTTGTCAAGGTTCGCAAGCCCAACAACGCCCCCGCTTTCAATCCATATCGCAACGGTGCCGCTGCCAATGCCGCATTCGCTCCTCCGCATCCCGAACCTGAAATCGCCGATCGATTCGGGAATCTCAATATCGGTGAGCCTTTCGACGCCACACGCCACGCCGAGTTCGTATTTACGTCCTCTGCTTCTTCCCGTGTTGACGAAAACTCGGTCTCCCAACAGATGAACAAATTGAAGATTGCAACCGAAGACGGAACAGGTTTTAACGTATCGGACCTACGCGATGAGCTGAAGAAGAAATTGAGTATTAAAGAAGGAGGAGGTAGCAATGCAGTTGCTGAGAGCTCGGCGAATGATTTTATATACCAAATGAAGAATCTGAATGTGAATGACTCTATCGGTAGTAATGCCTCTAAGAGTGAAGGTAACGCGACTCTGTTTGGAAAATGTGAAACGGAAGCGGAGGGAATTTTGTTGAGGAAGTTGGAGAAGTTAAACCTAGTTAAGGAGAAGAAGGAGGATTGTGTTGAGCCGAATTTGTGCAATCCTTTTAGAGAGGGAATTCACCGAAGAGATGCGAGTGGAGATTCCGCTCGAGTTTCTGAAGACATTGGAATGTCGCAAAGTGCTGCATCAGCTTCATCCTCTGTGTTCTTTCAACCTGTTGGAGTTGGCAAGAGGGAGGAATTTGTGTTCACTGGTAAACAAGATAGTTCAGGTTCATCTTTTGTTGAGTTTAAAACACCTGCACCAAAAATTGGCAAAGAAGGGAAACTTAAGGAAAAAGGTAGCAAAATGAGAACGAGTAAAAGTAGGGAAAAACTGAAGCATTATACCTCGGCCCAGCCATGGCGTGGACAGGGTTTTATTTTTAAAGGAAGCGTTTCGCAAGAGGAACCGCAGGGTTCTTTTGAGAGTTTTTCACCAATGGATGTGTCTCCCTATCGGGAAAAACTGGCTGAAAATGAAAGGTCAAGGGAAAGTTCTTTGACATCCAATGAGTCATTCAGTGTTGATAACAACCCTGTAGTTAATGATTCGGTACCGACCACTTCTATTGATCCCATTGATGAAGATTTGATTACTGCGGCAGAGAGCTTGAATATAAATGGGGGTGATGGTGCAAGCAGAGACACAAAGGAGGAAAGTTTAGAGTATCAAATACGTGAAAATACTTGTGTTGAAGACCCAAAGGATGAGTCGATTTCTGGGGTTGAAACTGAAAGCTTTAAGTCTGCCAATGATGAAGTGGACATAACTAGTGATGCGGCTGGTGTATCAGTAGAAACTGAAGCACATAGCAGTGATGGAATGTTGCATCTTGGTAGTGCTTTGAGTTCAACAAACGTAAGTGGGTCTGCCTTCACATTTGCTGCTTCTTCTTCGGCTGAGGCTCAATCATGTAGTCCAAAACGTCCTCACAAAAAGAAAAACTGGGCAAATGTTGGTCACGATTCTTATAACCACTTACCAAGCATAAAGGTTCCTTGTTCGTCATCGTCTGTGGCATTTTCTCCGTTTTCTGGAACTCCATCTCTTTTCACATCAGGGCAAGGTTTAAAACCCAAGGTATCTTCTCAACCCAAAACAAGGGATTTTGATGAGAATGAGGAGCAGGGGGCAAAGAAGGCTTCTGCTTCTATTTCTGTTACAACCATTGCTGTTCAGGAAGCATGTGAAAAGTGGAGGCTCCGGTGAGTATATGTATATATTTGATAGTTCTATTAATATCCAGTCACTTGCTTGTAATATATTTATTTTTGTTATTCTGGATACAAAGCCTGGCTTTCTACGACTGCTTCTGATTTGTATATTGAAATAGAATACAATATATCAGTGTTTATTTTAAACACAGACAAATAGATTTTGCTAAGTAACTTTGAAATGGTTCCTTTGATTTTGGCATCATACTTTACCAACATTGCAACCATTATTCACAATACTGACTGAATATGCTTTATATCAGAGGAAACCAAGCCTATAAAAATGGGGATCTGTCTACGGCTGAGAATTGTTACAAACAAGGACTTAGTTGTGTATCTAAAGAAGAAGCATCCCGTACCTGTCTCAGGGCTTTGCTGCTATGTTACAGCAACCTTGCTGCCACACACATGTCTCTTGGTAGGATGAGAGATGCACTAGAAGATTGTAAGATGGCTGCTGAAATAGATCAAAATTTCCTAAGGGTGCAACTTAGAGCTGCAAAGTAAGTTACCATTGTTTCTTCTTAATCACTTTGTACTGTATGATTTAAGTTGTATGAATTTTAAGTTTCATGTCAGATGAATGAAACCTCAGGATACATCTAGTGGGAGTAATGATTCATGATGTAAAAAGAATGGATCTAATGAGGGAACCCTATGAAAGTGCAAGTACATTAATGTGACATTTGGTTTGAGAAAATGCTTTTTATTTTCACTTTTAATTACAAAATGTTTTCACTTTATTTCCTGTTTTTAAAACGATAAAAAATTGTTTTCATTCTTTCCTATGCAAATTATTGAAAACAGGAAACAAGTTAAATCAAGGCAGTATTTTTGTAAATAAAAGTGATAACAAAGAATGTTTCTCAAAACCAAACAGCCCCTTAGTATTTAGTACCAAATGCTTGATTGTTATTTAAAGTTTGGAAACACATTTAGTTAATAACATGGAAATATAAAAGTGTCTAGCACCATGCATGCTTGTGCTTCATGTCTAAAGTTGCAAGTGTCGAGATAGTTGATTGTGTCCCTCAAGTCCTTTTGTTTTTCATTCTTGTTTAAGTTGTTGCCTTGCTCTGGGAGAAGTTGAAGGCGCATCACAATATTTTAAAAGGTGCTTGCAATCAGGAACTGATGTTTGTGTGGATCGAAAAATTGCCGTGGAAGCCTCTGATGGCTTACAAAAGGCACAGGTTTGATTATTTATAATATTTTATAGATAACTTGATATATTGTGGAGGCTTTGGTTATTAGCATTTCCTTTTGGTTAAAGATTTTTAATTAGCTACAGGCTGTACGTGTAAATGAGTTAAATAGAAGTCTCTTAGGCTCTCACTCTGAACTGTTTTGATATTTTACTATATTACCCTTCTAGGGGTAGACTTCATTCCAAGGGTTTAAAGTGCATATAATAAATTCAATACAAGTTTTTTTTTCTTCCAATATTTATTTGGATGTTGGCTTTTGAAGAGATAATTAATTGGACATTTTGAGGGTTACTATTACTTTTGAAACATCTATCTGATATATATGTTTTTAGAATTATAAATATTTTGTTGGAATACCTTTTTGGTACCTATACAAAACTCATTTTTTATATTTGATTCCTACATAAAAAAAAAAGTTTGTAAACAAGTCAATCTTGACAAAATATATTTTTAAAATGGTCCCTGCTGTTATCTGACATTATAAGGCCGTTAGAACAAGTTTGACATGGTTAAAGAATTTATGAGGTAGCTTTTGACGTGTGAGAAAACTGTACACATTTCTTTGTTTTGCTCCCTATATATAAACATATCTTTTCATTTTGGCACCTAAATAAAAAGATGGAATTTTTCAAATCAATCCCTATATATATGTGTGTGTATATATATAATGTGAAGGCAGGCAAAAAATTACAATATTTTAAAGATTTTCCTTTTGGTTTAAGATTTTTAATTTGCTACAGGCTGCACATGCAATGAGTTTACATTAAAAGCTTCTTACACTGAACTGGTTTGACATTGTACTATATTGCCCTTCTACAGAACATGTATCTGATATATTTTTTAGAATTTAGAAATATTTTGTTAAGGTTTAAATACATTTTTGATCCCTATACAAAACCCATTGTTTTATTTGGGCCAAAATAGTTTGTAAGGGAGTCCCTTGATGAAAAATAAAAAAATATTTTAAATGGTCCCTGTCATTATATAGTTATAACATTTAGAGTAAGTCTGACATAGTGCACAAGAATTTCTGACATGGCTTCTAGCGGCATGTGAGGACACTTTACACATTTATTTTGGTCCTTGTACATAACACATTTTTTCATCTTGATCCCTGTATGAAAATGTTTTTTAAATTAGCCTCTATACATACATATACATATACGTGTCATACAATGCAAAGGCAAATATAAAGCACAACGCAACCAAAAAAAAGTACAATTGTATATCAAAAGTCTTGAGGAAATTTGACCTTAAGAGAGAGCTTATTAAGTGAAGGAGCATAACTTAAGAGAGCTTTCACTACTCTCCCCAACACGCACATACACAGAAATTAATGGCTTTGACAACCAAAAGCTAGTGTACAGACTTTGAACAAGGTTGTTGTAGCTTGAGGTGGGTATGGAGATTGTGACGAGAAGATGGTGTTTGAGAGTTGGGTAATGTTTTGCTCATTATGGAGGATCGAAAGGAGTGAATGTGGTCTGACTTTTGTGGACCTAAGCCATTATTATTTTTTTGTTGTTGGAGAGTAGTGGAAAGCCTCTCTTTAGCTGTGTTCCTTCTTAGTCCGAAACACATGGTCAAATTTGTTCATAATTTTTATGTATAATTGTAATGGGTTGTTTGTTTTTGTTTTGTTGTATTGCTCTTTTTCTTTGCCTTCACATTATGCTTTGGTATGTACAGGAAATAGGGACTATTTTTATTTTTTTTTTCATATAGGGGGACCAAGATGACAAAATGTGTTATGTACAAGGAAAAAATTGTGTAAAGCTTTCTCACACATCATAAACTATGTCAGAAATCTGTTAGCCACATCAGACTTGCTCTAACAGCAGTAGAACCTGAGAAAATGGCAGGGACCATTTTGAAAACATTTTTTCATCAAGGAACTTGTTTACTAATTTTTCATGTGGGGATCAAATAAAAAAGGGAATATGTATAGGGACCAAAAAGATATTTAAACCTTTTGTTAATGATTTAAATATTAAAATATTTTTTGTAAAGTGGTGATGACTAGACATGTAGAAATAGATGGTAAAGAAGACAGATTGTATGTTACCGTTGTTTTGTTCAATTATATTCTGCCACTTTATGGATTGCAAATTTTGCATTTTGTTTCCATTCTCTTTAATAAGATCCCAGTGTTTTTGAATTTATATTTCTCTAAGTGGCTGTGGTGTGAAGGTGTGTCCCCAACTTCCTGAACTGACTAGTTTTCAATGGATTTAACAGAAAGTATCAGATGTCATCAATCATTCTGCTCAACTTTTGCAAAGAAGAACATCCTCTGATGCAGAGAGAGCATTAGAACATATTAATGAGGCGTTAATGATAAGTTCATACTCTGAAAAATTGCTTGAAATGAAAGCGGAGGCTCTGCTTATGGTTAGTGCTCTTTCTTATAATATACTGGAATTTCACTAAAGCTTAGATCATGATTTATGACTATCTCAAAATTCAGCTTTAAGTCTATTTGTACAATAATTTATGTCTGTTGGATAACTTTTGCCACACATATCAGCTTTGTAGATATGAGGAGGTGATTCAGCTGTGTGACAAGACCCTTGATTCTGCTGAGAAGAATGCCTGTCCATTGGATGCTGGTTGCCAAATCACAGATCTGGATAATTCACAACTCTCAAAAGGCTTCTACTTCAGAGTGTGGCGATGCTCAATGATGCTTAAAGCCCACTTTTACCTAGGGAAATTTGAAGAAGGTCTTTCTTTGCTGGAGCAATTAGTGGAAAAGGTGTCTGGCATAAACAAGTAAGTATTACTAACCTCTGGCTCATCCACCCTACTCTGCCCCTCCTCAAGTGTAAACAGAAAAGAAAAGGGCAAAGTGAAATGTGAATATTTGAAAGCTATGATCCTTTTTATCATCAGCTTAGATTCTGTTCCTGCAGGAGCGGAAGCAAGGTTTTGGATTCACTCATACCACTGGCTGCCATCATACGTGAGCTCTTGCATCATAAGGTTAGCTTATGCTGTGTTTCATTATATCGTTATGTTGATTATTTATATTATTATTGATATTGTTTGTTAAATAATAAATACCTTGATTTCCTAGAACATTTTCACTGTTTCAAAGTAACACCTATTGTTTTTTTGGTCCTGGGAGCTAATTGTTATTTTAGCTATTTGATTTGACTATATTATTTTGTTTCTAATATACTTTCTTTGAACAATATTTTGAGCTTTTAAAATGAACTTTTGGATTAGCATTTATCAGTGTAAATCCTTTTATCTGCAATCATTTATTTCTACAGTTCCACTAATTGTGCTTGCTGTTGCCCAAGGTGACAGTCGTTGACTCATTCTGCACATGTTCTTGTTTTTATTTATAGAAAGAAATAAAAAAGGGTGAAAATTGCTCTATATTATAGAATGGAAATCACCAAGACACTAGATTGATTTAGGGTGCATTTGGATAAGCTTTGATAAAAGTGCTATTATGATATCAATTTTTTTTTTCACATTTTAAGGAAAGCATAAAAACTGCTTTATTTAAGATTTTTGTGTCTTTTATTTAAAGCACAGACACACATGTTGGAAAACCACCTCAATTGCGGCCACCCCTAGGCCAGAAAGGGGCTTCCTACAGAGGAGCTGACCAGAAAGGTTGAATTAAGCATCATAGATACAAGGCTTGCATAGTTTGCATCTTACACGTCAGTTTTGTAAGATCCAAATTCTAAGACCACAAACAGACCCTTAGGCTCCCTGTGTGCGTATTTATGTTCATATACTGTGGAATGTGGATTAACACAACTATAGTCCACCTATATTTTGTGCAAGCCCATCTGAATACCCATCACATGCACGGACACTGCCCTAATTTCCTTTAACTTGATAATTTATCCTCTTTGTTTGTGTTTCTATGCTCTTCTCTAATACAATTCTTCCAACATTAAATGACTGAAGAAAACAATTTAAGTGCCACACTGATGTTGTATTCTAATTAGTTTCTATTAGTTTAAATCCTTCTGTCCTTTTCCTGTGACAAGAAAATTGCTTTTGATTAGGATTGGTATAAATCTATTCATTTGTAGACTGCAGGAAATTCAGCATTTCAGTCTGGAAGGCATGCAGAAGCTGTTGAACACTATACAACTGCTTTGTCATATAATGTGGAGTCTCGTCCATTTGCAGCTGTCTGTTATTGTAATCGTGCCGCTGCATATAAAGCTTTAGGTCAAATTACCGATGCTATTGCAGATTGCAGTCTATCTATAGCTCTTGATGGAAATTATTTGAAGGTTTCTCTCTTCAGCTGTAACTTCATTTTTTTTTCTTGGAATTGTTATAATTTAATAATCAGAAGGGAGGTTAACCTGACATATGATAAAAACACCTAGGGTAAATTATAGCACATGAGAAATACAGGGAGAAGGAATGGGTCAAGTAGTGAAAGGATCTGGCACGCAGCCAAATAGCCAATACAGAGCTTTATTCTCTTTGACAACTAGAAGAAAACTTTTGTTATTCAGGAAAAATGAGGTATCCTTGTTATAACCATTATATTTATACCCCTTTTTATAGCTTAAAAATCCTAACCGTAAAAATATCCTAATGTTATCCATGTAAACTAACTTGAATAAAAATTAAGTAAAAGATACAAAAACAAAAAATTATAACATAAAAAACTGTTATGTTGCCCAGGCTACGGTTGTATAATCTTCAATAGCCCAAACAGAAATCCAACATATAATTGACCTCCTTTTTCCTGTGGATCATAACCATAGGGATTAATCAGTTAAAAACCTGTAGCATTTAAGTTATTTGTTATTCTTTACATCCAAACATGAACACAAGAACCAAACTATTTGAAATGGGTCACCAATAATAATAATTTTGAATTGTTTAACCCATAGGAGAGAAAATGAAGCAATTTAAACGTGGCATTACAATTTTCCTATCTGTGTAGCTTTCGTATGTGTTGTAGTTGTATAATTATATTAGAAAGCCTGAATGAGTTTCTGTCAAAGTCTTAGTGGGTGTTACGCAATATTATCAAATAACCGTTATACGAAATAGCATAAAGGTCTCCTGCCAAATCTTCATTCACCATCCGTTATTTGGTGTTATATGACAGCGTCCGCCATATCTGCCATGGCACCTGCCATGGCCGTCATGCCGTAAAGGACTAAAGGTTTATAATGGTCATGGCAGATATGGCGCTTTTTTACTATAAAAAACCCCATTTTACAGTTTCTGACCCAAGCTCAACCCATTCTAAAGAAAAATCCAAAACACTTATGTCCCAAATGTGGAAGTTGTTGCTGCCAACCCTAAACGTTGATGCCACCCTAGGGTTCTCTAAACCTTCATTTAACTCTGGCGACCTTAATGGAAGCGGTCCCTCACTCCAACGAACCTTGGAGTGTGGTTCAAAACAAATTCTGTATTTTAGTGTTTTTTTTCTACTTCTTCCTCTTCTATCCAATGATTTTTCATCTATTTTGTTTTGTTTGAGTTCGTGTTATTCATATTTTATTCTTCTATTCCTCTTCATCTAATATTCATCTCCTTCATGTTGGGTCTAGTTTGAGTTCCTAGTTTGTTCAAATATTGAAAATTATATTTTGTTCCTTATCCTTTATTATGCTTTGTTTGTTTGTTTGTTTTTTTAATTTTTAATTTTATATTAAACTATTTAAGTTGATATTTTGTTTTTAATTAATTTTTGCTGTTTGCAATTTATTTTTTGCAGTTTTTTTGGTATATGTATATTATTATTATTTTTGTCCGTCATATGCTTATAACGGATTTTTGGCTCACCACCATAGACCGCTATCATTAACGATAACTTTGGTGTTACGACATGCTATAGAGTAGTAACGACTGTAACGTGCATTGATTTTTTGCATTTTCAAATATATATCTATTTTTAACTTTTTAAAGGAATTTATTTAGGATTTCAATTTATATGATAGTATGACAAAAATGCTTTCATACACTTGCAGGCACTTTCTAGACGTGCAACTCTGTACGAGATGATCAGAGATTATGCTCAAGCAGCCAGTGATCTTAGGAGGCTTGTCTCTCTTCTCAGCAAGGATGTGGAGGACAATAAACTTGGAATAACTGATAAATCAATTAATTATGCTTATGATTTGAAGCAAAATCGCATTCGTCTTTCTGATATGGAAGAAGAAGCCAGAAAGGAGATCCCTCTTGATATGTACCTCATTTTGTAAGTTATTTACTAATAATCGACACTTCTTCATCATATCATTGATATTAGTTTAAAGCTTAAATATGTTTTTAGTCTCTCAAATTTATAGTAAATTTATTTTTGGTCCTTCAAATTTAAAATTGTTGTTTTAGTCTCTATAATTTCAAAAAATCTTGTTTTAGTCCTTATATTCAAATTTTGTTAAGAAATTTATTAAATATTATTGCATAAAATCTACTTATTGGTATCCCTGATAGTGATTAAATTCAATTGTTATTGTATAACCGTCTTAATTTGTCACTTTCATATATGTTATTAGTGATCTGAGGAACTAAAACAAGATTTTTGAAAATTACAAGAACTAAAAACAACAGTTTTAAATTTGAGGGACCAAAAATAAATTTGTCTTAAAATTGAGAGACTAAAAACATATTTAAACCTTAATTTAATTAACTCCATTTTTCTTGTAGTCTAAATCACCTTTCTAAAGAAAACATAACTTCTACTTTTGCATGTTTTTCAAGTCAAAGCTACGAGATATATCATTCCATTTACGAGGATGAAATGGGAAAATTCTAGACATAAAGGGAAGATTTTAGAATCTTCCTTCTTCGTATGAAATAATAGCTTTAGAGATCCAATTGTCAGTATCCAGAATTAGAAAATAAATAAAATTCATTTATGATTTGCAACTGAATGAGGATAGATAGATAACAATAATGTATCCTGAATCCCGAGGAATACAGGCTTACACAGAAGAATAGATTTATAACCATTTAAAGAATGCATCTAGGTATTAATTCTTTAAAAATGTGTCCAGAATAAAAAAAATGCTATGCAAGAAAGAGACTCAAGTTCTTTTATAATTGTCATCATTCTGTGTGCAAGTTGTGTTTAATGCGGCTAAAATACCTGTTTGTTGTTATTCGAGGGAGATATTATCATTCATTTAGGACTATCAACTAACTGACATTATGATGGCAGGGGAGTTGAACCATCTGTTTCGATATCTGAAATCAAGAAGGCCTATCGGAAAGCTGCACTTAGACACCATCCAGACAAGGTTGTTTGATTGGGCACTTGGTTTGATGCTCATACCAACAGTAATCACTGTTAACATTTTATCTTATTCTGTAGGCTGGCCAGTCGTTGACCAGAAGTGACAATGGAGATGATCAGATATGGAAGGTTATTGCTGAAGAAGCACACAGAGATGCTGATAGGCTTTTCAAAATAATTGGGGAGGCATATGCCATCCTGTCAGACCCTGACAAGGTATTTTCTATATTTTCAACTAATCAATGTTGCTGAAAGGCTTGCTGTAGGAAAATTGGTTTTTTGTGGACTCCGATGGCATGTCAGTTAACCATGTAGTCGAAGCCCACCTAGTGGGATAAGGATTTGTTATTGACAATTAACATGTAATGTCCGAAGTTCCTTTGTCTTAAAATAAGGGAAGTAACAACTACAAATGGTCAGTAGCTTATATCTAGCATACGGGAATTAGAAAAGTTTCTTTCCTTAGTCGGAAACCAAATTTTTACTAGTGTTTTAAACACTTAGCAAAGTATCAATGGTATAAATTTTGATGTGTTTCCTTCCTTGTTCACTAATACCAAATTACTTCACTTTTTATTTAATTTCTAGCCAAAGACCATATTGCTTAATAAAACTTGATGCTGGATGTTGTGGATAGTACAATACTAGAGCCGTGAAATTGTCAAATAATAAATGTGCATCAATAATAGCAGTAAATGAGAAAATCTTGCAATAAAATAAAAAAAATAAAAAAAAAAAAAAAAAAAAAAAAAAAAAAAAAAAAAAAAAAAGGACTTCTTTGCTGCTCCATTTAGAGAAGAGTCGCTATGTAAAGCAGCAGGATTTAACAATGCTTGTGAGCTTTTTACTTCTTGCGGTGTTTAGCCAAACAACCATGCTTCTGGGAAGTCGTTTAAATTTTTAAGCTTAAGCATATTATGCTGCGTATTCATTTGGTCATTATTCCATTTATGCAGCGGGCACGTTATGATGCAGAAGAAGAAATGAGGAATTCCCAAAAGAAACGGTATGGACCTATGGCTAGAAATAATGTGGATGCTCAGTATTATTACCCGTTTGAACAAAGCAGCAGAAGACAGTGGAGAGAGGTTTATAGATCATATGGTAATCCATCATATCGAGGTTCTGAACCTGGCCGATCAAGTAGGAAATAAGAAAATCTGCATGAAATGTTAATCCTGTTTGACTCTTTAAATGTGGCCTAGTTAGATGGTGCCTTTTAAGTTATCCGCTGCAATTGGCCTTCTGAATTTCGGCATTATGCTGAGTTCGGTGCTGCATTGATCCAGCTGTTACGCGGCTTCCATCCTTCGAGTTAGGAGAGGTCCAACAGGTACACAATTCTGCAACTGATGACATAGCGGTTGGAGAAGAAGCTTAGCTGGTCAATGCATCCAGTTAGAATTTTTCTCTTGGCAAGAGAAAGACTGCATAAGAATTTTGTCTTCTTTTACAGCTGACCACGACTTTGAGCGAGGACTTGGTGTTTTAACTTGGCTGCTAAAACCCAGCACAGGAAAAAGAAGCTTGAAAATTTTGCAGTGGTTGAGTGAGGGCTCTGATTTTTTTAGATATGTAAAGTTTATCGACATAAGTTGATGTTGAGATGAACAGACGAAATTAAATTGCTATACCACAACGATTGTAATTAACAAAACACAGTTGGGCTTGTGTAAAAATAATTCATTTTTTGACGAGTCATAACTAAGCCAACTTGGCACTTGCGAGCTAGAAGTAATCCAACCTATGTCATCTGGGAAACTTGGGACTAAAAACAAACAAAACTTCAACATAAATTTAGGCAATTAATTGAACCAGTCCTAAAAATAAATAAGTAAATTAAGGTTTAATTATTCTTTTAGTCTTTATAATTTTATAAATTTTGCTCTTTAATTCTTATAGCTAAAAATATCTTATTTTAATTTTTATATTTATTATTTTTGTTCTTTAATTTTTGTCGTTTATTTTTATAAGAAATAAAAGAAAAAAATATATATAACTGCAAGGACTAAAGAAAAATTATACAACTATAAGAAATAAAAGAGAGCTTATGTAACCATAAAGACCGAAAAAAATGGAAACTAATGTGTAAAGTTTATGAAATTATAAAAATTAATTTTTTTTAAATAGGAACTAATGTGTAAAGCTTATGAAATTATAAGATTAAAAAATTAAGTAATCCATAAATTAATAACAATAATATTATTATGTTGAATATGTGTCTACACATTTTATATTAGTTTCATAACCTGTGGTAGTACAAAAAGTACTAGTTTATTTTTTTTATCATCCAAAATGTACTTGTTTCATAACAGCTTTGCTTCAAATTAAGAATATAATATATAACCCTTAACTGAAAAAAAATAATTAGTAGATTTTAACTTTGATCTTTTAATTAATAGTTAAGATTCCCTATTTTTCACCTTAAGTTTATTGTTATAGCAGTTTAAAAAAAAAACATTTACATTACTTGGGTTGCTTTCTATGAAAAAAAAAAAAAGAAGGAAATTTTAGAAGCAACTTAAGAAACTCTTACAAAATCCTAATCACAAATAACAAAATTATGTGATTTTTGTTTTTCTTCTACCGGAGAAAGATATAGCTCATTTTCATTAAGCAAATCCAAATAGATAGGCACAGTGCCTTGTTCTTATGAGCATCTCATCGATTAAGCCCGTACATGAATGAAAATGAACGCTGTCTCAAGAACTGAACTATACACAGCCTTGAAGTACAATAGAAAGAATTTTACCGAATTTCACTTTTGCTTTGGTACGGAAAGACTTAAAGGTATATTCCTAACCCAAACTCCTTTGGATCTGTTTCAACCATCCATGGTGACCTGTTTATTTTCAGAAAGAAAGACGATAAAACAAAGAAAAACATGGTCATAAATTTCCAAAATAAGTCGCCAATAATACAGAACACCAGCACTAAGATTAGAAAGTTAACCTGTTCATCACAAAGTTAAACGTTCCCTGGCTAGCACGCCTTAGAAGAACTTCTCTGGCTTCAATTGGAAGTCCTTGGGGCTGCATTTAGAATTCGATGAAATTATTATATAGCAGAAAGCAAAATTTGTTTGCGAAATGTTCAACATTACACTTTAAAATTGCATAAAAAATGTGAATTGGATACACTTACCTCTTCCGGAAACCAAACTCCTGGCTGCGTGTTTCCTTCAAGAACTGCAAGTGCAAAAGCAGCTGTTGCAATTCCTACAGATCTGAAAAACGTGCCCACTGCATTCGTCAATCGTCATTACTAATAAAAAGCAACTATATTCCGGCTTTATCAAATTAATATCTCATAGCATGCACAATTTATTGGCAAAAATGCTAAATTGTGTGGTTTCCCCGTTGTTAGCCTACATCACGTCTGCGTTTCCACAATTTCGTCTTCGTTTGGTCAGTTAAGCTAAAGTGTCTAGTTCTCCTGACAGTTAGTTGTTCGTGCGGTAAAATTGTAGAAATGCGGTAGACCAAAATAAATAAATTTTAAAAGGCATGTAAAAGTTTTTAAACTGTCAATCAGTTAAAAATCTTGGTATAATTTTTAAGATGATCATTATAAAAATCAATAAATATATTTTACACACGGTTGCAGTTTATAATTAGATGAATGTGTAAAAACCTTTTACCCTTTACTATTTATCAAATAAAAAGGCAGTAAGAATTTGGCAAGTAAGAATTTACATAATTCACAATTAATATAAAATTAATACTTATTAAAAATTAAATTTTTTTTTATATATACTCATATATATATATA